ATCATGTACTGATTGGAGTAGCTCAAGGACCGAGTCTACAGAGAAAGACTGTATCATAGATGTAAGACTTCCAGTGATACACATACGAGACACCAATGTTTAGTCACACCTTTTCCGTAGATATGAGATTATCTTTACGCATATATATATATATATATATATATCTGACATAGTATATGAAGTTCATACGCACATGTTGTTTCACTTCGTCCGCATCTTAGATGGCTCTCCGCGAGGGATGACAATGAAGGGGACAATAGACGTGGCTATACGCTTGACAATGAAATGATGTAAACATCCATTGGATTCCTGGGTGTGTACTCACTGAGTTAGGTGGTATTAGAACAGCCAGCAGGCGATATCGCGGAGAGGCACGACGGTCCTCATGGGCTGCAAGTGTTCTCGCAAAGACAGCTGAAGTGATGTGGTGATAAGCATTAGGGCTTTCCCCTCATGCGATTGTATGTATGCTTCCGGTGAGGGTCGAACTCCAGATCTTTCATTTATGTTCTGCTGTTTATGTACTTTATAATATTTCCAAAAATGAAGTAAAGATGTGAAAACGGTGAAAGCCATGGCGTCGTTTTTAAAGTATTACGACATGTTATCCTTAGTGTTTTGATCATAAGCGAAATATTGTTGTTTCTAGTATTGCTTTTTGACTGGTCGAAGCTTCACAACTATGGGTCATCAAGTTTAACACCTTAAAAACATCAGCCAGAAGGCTGGCAGCTGCAAAAACCGCTAAGATCCTCAATGAACTACCGAGAGAGGCACGGTGTCTAGCAATCGAGTTACGAACAGATCAGTTTCCTACCACTAAGACTCATCGCTACCGATTCGAATTAATCGATTCACCTAAATTCATGACGTGTGACGCAGACGACAGCATCTGACACAGAATATTTATATGCATAAGACGCATAATGGCAAGAATCACTTTACGAAGGAAGATAACCAAGATCAACATTCAGTACCAATTAGGTCCAATGCTCAGGAGCGTACAAGCTCTACAAGCCCTTTATGAGTTTTTCAAACCGCAACTGACTACGTACCCAAAATATTCCGGTGGTTCGGCGTAACCAATAAAATTCGAGGAAACGCAAATCATTAAGACATTTTACGACATCAGTCAAGAAACAATTTTAACTGATTTAATACACCATTAAAACCCTCATGCTTTAAGAAGTATTAATGGACGCAGTTTAACTTTGTATCGTCTTAACAATATATTTAGATTTCATCATCATCAAGTCTAAGATGCATCAAAAGAGAAACTAGTTGTTTAAATAGTTTAGAATTCTAGGGTTATTCCCATTGTTTCGTTATCTTCATTGTTCCCTGTTCTATTTATAGTTGGCCGAGGTTCCTGAGGGTGGCCCTAGCCCTTTAGATAGAGGGCAGTATTCTTACAGAATCTCTTTAATCTTCATTCCTAATACATGTTTATAGATAATTGAATCGTCAATCTAAGCTTCTTTGCCGAGGGCTTTTTTTTTTTGAAAAAACTTTCCACCCCTATTTCTCTGTTTTCCGGATTTTACTAGAACACCTGATATAATATGGCACGTTTAAGTTTCATCACTCTAACCTGCATTATATTTGGTGCTATGGCTTATAGAGCTAGTACAGATATGGTAACACTTGGAGGCAGTGGTTTCGTAGGAGGAATTTTCTTCATAGTTGAGAAATGCTCTCGCGACAATGGTGGTTTAACTGGTGACCAGTGTGCCCGAGCAATCTTAATAGATCTTTTCTTTGGTATAATATATGGAATAGGTAGAGCTGGACAAGAGTTAGAAATATTTAAACGCAGTAATGACCTTAATTATACGGACGGAAATAGGGTGCATTGCGTTGAAACTTATCCCGACTAGCTTGGCTAGCTTCGAATCTGGGTTAGATATATCGCACACTGTACTGGGAAATGTTACACATTTGGACTTTATGTCTACAGCTGATAATCCCGATACTCCACAAGATGATGTAAGATCCTTTAACAATCCCAATGTTTTCCATATTCTCAAATTATTTAATGATAAAGATGATGGAGCATCTTACCCCGCGGTAATGCATAGATTTATCCCTGAACTAAATAGTTATCAGGTGCAATCTACGACCCACTTGAATGGTAGTGGGAGCAAGAGACAGCAGTCTAATAATGATCGTTGGGTGTTTTCTTACGCTGTAAACAGACAGTATTTTGGTGAAAACACGAGGCACTATCCTAATATCCCAAACTGGGTAGTTGAACAAATGGCTAATGATTTGTTGGGTAGACTGTATGAGCTAGATGCTGATAACATATGTATAAACTTTAACGGGGAATTCGGTTTATGGGGAAAATTGCAAGTAGCCAACGCAGATACTGCTGGAGGTATTGGTGCTTCCCAATGTGATCCATATTATAATAACGATTATGCTGGAGGAGGACATTGGACATACAATTACCAAGTACATGATGAGTTGTAATATAGAACTCAGCAGTCTATACAATAATACAAAAAGCTATATTTCTCTCTTTTATATCTTTG